CACGATTTCGCCCCCTCTGGTTTCCGTTCGCGCGCGCTCTGCAGCATTATATATTGGAAGGCTTGATCTTCTTCGGCCGCCCCCCCAAACTCTCCCTCGACCGCGCCCACGTTGGCTGGCCCGCGGAACCGTCGGGAAGCGTCGGCCCAGCTGGCCGCCGAGTTTCGCGCAGCGCCCTTTCCATTTTGTTTGGGGGCCGCTTATCCGGCAACTGTTCGGGGACTGTCCCGCGGGGGGCGCCAGCGTTGAGCTCGGCGAGGTGCGCGGCGCCGACCTTCACCCCCCGGCGCTTCCTGCAGCGGCTTGCCGACGCGGGCGGCGACCTGCCAACTGCCGACCCCCCCCGCGCCCCAGTCGCCTTGCGAGCCCGCGGTGAATTCCTGGCGCGCCGCGGCGGCTCTCCGCGCTCCATGTCGCGAGTGGGCAGGGCCAGGTCGCCCAGACGGGCGCCGCGCAACGATCTCCGCCTCGGTGGATTGGTGGAGCTTCGCGCGCTGGAGGTTATTGCGGATGCTTTCGATCGAGACCGGCCCCAAGGCTGGCGCCACAGAGGGCGGCGCGGGAAAGCGCGCCCTCGCGTCGGACCTCACCGGCGCCGGGAGGGCGCCCAGATGGCCCCTCCAGCGGGGGGCCGCCGCGCCCGTCGCCGGCCCCGAGCGAGCGGGCGCTCCTCTGCGCCCCGCCTGCCCCATTGGCACAGGGGGCGCGCCCCGCGGCGGCCCCCCCGGCGCTCGCCCCCCCTGCTCCCGCGAGCAAGCCCACCCCAGTGGGGCCCCGCGGGGCCGCTCGGCGCTTCGGCCCACGCGTCATAATTAGCTCCCGGGGGGCCGCGCGATGGCCGCGCGCGCAGCGCTGTCGCGCCGCGCTGGGCGCAAGCCGTGCTCGGCGCTGGCCCCGCTTGCGGCGGCGCCTCTGGGCCCCCGCGCGCCCGGTCTCCCGGCTGGAAGCCCGCCTTTCAGCCGACGCGGGGCCGGCGATCCCGCCTTGACCGCCGCTGTTCCTACGCGGGCCCAAGGCCGTCGCTGAGCCCCCGGCCCCGCCCCCGCCTCTCGGCCCCGGCGTTTTGTCCGGGACCTCTCCAGCTGCGGGCTCGGGGGCGAGTCCAGACGTCGCGCTTGCGCCGACCCCTGCCCCCGCGGTTGCTCCGGCTTCGGCCGGCTCCACGCCGCGCCCGCTGGCCGCGCTCGCGCTCGCGATGGCGCGCCTCCGCGCGCCCCGCCTCGGCCCCCCCGCGCGCTCGGCCGCGGGCAGATCGGGCGCCGCCGCTAGCTCAGCGGGCGAGTCCGAGGGCCCTCAGGCACAGCGTCGCCTTGCTAACAAAGTCATGCCCCACGCCGCCTGCTCCGCCCCCGCTGGCCGCTGCGATTCAGCGGCGCGCGCGGGCGCGGCACCTGCCAAAGGGCGGGGCTTGTTGGGCGCGGCTTAGGGCGGGAGAGGGTTTTTTTCGAGTTCGGGACCCCCTCGGAGGCCACGATCCTCGTGAGGGGGCCAAAAATGGCTCTCCCAAAGTCACGCGAGAAGCTGCGACGAACCCCAAGGGTACGGAGCCAAGGCCCGGGAGATTTTGAAATTTGAGCTCGGGTCCCCTTAAAGAATCCTCAGGACTGAGGAGTGAGGCTCAGGGGATGAGGCAGGAGACCTTAGAACACGCCCACTCCGTGCCGCAGTGTACGGTGGCGGATTGTTTTTTTTGGTTTGGGGGAAGAGGCCCCGTAGGTTTTGTATCGAAGACGCCTACGGCGAGTCACCGCCGCCCCCTGCCTTGTTGGAAACGCCTGCGCGGTCGAACATTGGGCCAGAGATTGCCTAAACTATTGTGGTGCGTGTGTTTCCGAGTCGCTGTGGAAAGTCTTCGGGGAACACATGGAGGAAAAGGAGGTCAGGTAAGGCGCTTGGGGGGCGGAGGAGGAGGAGGAGGATGAAAAGGAGGATGGGGAGGAGGAGGGGAAGGAGGAGGCCTCCTGGGAGCCTCTTGGGGCACTCGGGGAGCAAGTTGGCAGTTCTTGTTGCTTGGAGGCCTCTTGGATCTTGGAGGCCTCCTCAGGCCTGTTGGGAGCGTTTGCGAGCTTGTTGGGCGCCTCTTTGGCCGTCTCAGGGCGTTCCTGGCCCGTCTGACTCCGTTGCGATCCGTGTTGAGGTGCTCTCTGGTCCGACTGGGGGCGCTTCAGGGTCGTCCTGGTAGCCATCTTGGGCGTCTTGGAGGCCTGCCTCTTGGGCCGTCTTGGGGCCGTTTGGGGGCCGTCTCGGGGCCCTTTGGCGCCGCTCTGGGACAAATTTGGAAGCCTCTTGAGGCGATATTTGGGTGATCTTTGGGCCTCTTGCGCAGTCTTGAGCCGTCGGAAAGCCGAAAAGAAGCAAAAACAGACATCTTCAAAAGAAAAAGGACATCAATGACTCTAACATCTTTTCGGTTTCTTGGAGGGCCTCTTGGGGGCTTCTTGGGAACCTCTTCGGCCGTTTTGGTGGCCATCTTGGGTCTTCAAAACATCTGGGAGAGTATCTTAAACCATCTTGCCAATCTTGTAGACTATCTTGGGCCGTCTTGGCGATGTGTTGCAGATGTCCCTAGCGAAACGTTGTTTATATAAAATTGC